CCTCCACAAGCAACAAGTGTCTCCGCAAGATCTGCCGTATATTCTGGCCAAACATCATCTCCAACCGTGATCTCTACACGTTGACTGGAAGCCAGAGTATAGTAGGAGAGATCAAGCGTCGACGATTCCGATGGCTGGGGCACGTATTAAGGATGGAGGAAAACCGCATACCGAAAGTAGCGCTGAGATGGACTCCACTCGGAAAGAGAAATAGGGGACGGCCCAAAACCACATGGCGCCGAACTGTGATGGCGGAGCTGAAAGAGAGGGATCTCACATGGGGACAAGCCCAACACATCGCCAGAGACAGGGCACGATGGATTGAGTTGACTGAGGCCTTATGTCCCAGACGGGACGAAGAGGACTGAATGAATGAAGAATAAACTAATAGAAAAGGAGTTAATGACATCAAAATTTACATTTCGATTTTAGTGGCAGCTTCTGACAACTTTACCACATTATTACGCAACCTGGTGTTTAATTGATTTTGTCTGGATTATATTCCATTTTTAGAGTCTAATTAACATTGCCATCTAGTGTCCTAAAAATGTTCCTGAGGTACCGTAAGTGATTTTTCTGATAGCATTCCAGTAAGGGTAAAAATATGACATTGTAGCCCGTGTGAGTTACTGTGCAACTCTGTAATTTTCTGTCGCTCGACATTTCTTAGTTACGCGACTAAAATGAGATTAGCTCTTTTTGACAACATGTCAGTATGTGGGCTGCGGCTTTGTAATGAATTGTATCCGTCGCATCTTTTCTCACTTTTCCCATCAATTTGGAAACACATCCTTATTGACAGCCTGACATTTTTTGTCTTTGGAGGGCCATTTATGTTTCATTATTGTTCTTAGCACACATTGGTGGCAAGTTCAATCCCGTAGGCCAAACGGTACCGCAATTATCTTGAATTTCAAAGGTGACCGTTCACCATGCGCTGTACTGGCCCAAAGATTCAACTGAGTGAATTTAAAGCTTTCCCTCAGGGGGCGACTGCTGAGAACCAAGCTAAGTGGCAAGAAATGAAATGTACGTGTGTGTATGCAAAAGTACATGTTTGCTGACTCAGTCAGGGGCGAGATGAAATCTCTCCCGTTTACATACTGGACACATCCACACATTCCTCCAGTCTTGCATATCGCCGCCTCTGCAAAACTCGATTGCATTGCACTGTCAAAATGAATCGAGGAATGTTTGCGACAACGGATGGAGCAGAATATGGATTTGCACCCATCCGCCAAGTGTGACGTGCAAGTAACTTTGCAACAACCTTGTTGTTAGTGGTATATTGAAGTGAAAATTCCCAGGGGTGTCACCTATTGGCCATCTTTCACATGTAAACATTACAACCTGTTCCCAAACTCATCTTGGACGGGCAAATGAGGAACAAAAAATGCCCTTAAAAAATGGCTGTGAAACCTGCAAAAGCTCAGCTCATGGGAACGCTATCTTTAGGGGTGTTTTTAAAATCTTTTACACAGAGTACCACCTCAAAAATACCTCCCTAGTACCAGTATCATGACCAACATTACAATAGAGTAGTTGAACCTCAAGTGTTCATTCAAAACAGACAGAAGTTTTATTCCTTGAGTTAACTCTCAACATTAACGGTGGGTTGGGAACAATATCCTTCATGATTCAATTAAAATGTATGGCACATTATAAAAAAGACATTGTTTGAAAACAAACAGTTCTGAAAGATGAAATGCTCGTGCTGAAAATAAACCCACACTGAACTGCGCAGGCAGCTAAATATATTGCCTATTCCCTCTATCTGATTATGCTTTGGGTGTCTGAAGGTTTTCTCACTTTTTAAAATGACATCATTAGAGAGCATTCTTGGGAGTTCCTTTTTTTTTCTTTTACAAACCCTCAAAATTCTTCAAAAAAAGCTGATAAACATCCAAAATACAGTGCTGTGAAATTGTATTTGCCCCCTTCCTGATTTCTCTGTTCTTTGCATATTTATCACATACAAAGCTTTCAGTTCATCAAACCAGTTTTAATATCACACAGAGACAACCCAAAGAAATACAAAATGCAGTTTCTAAATGCCAATTAAATTTTTTAGGGCACAAAAACAATTCCAAAACCACCTGTCCCGATGTGAAAATTTGATCCCCGCCCCTTGTTAAATCACAAAGTAACTAACGACAGTTTTTGGAAAGCTGAGTTCAGTTTCACAGGCAACACCCGAGCACCACATTTATTGAATCGAGAAATTACATCAATATAATCTGTCAGGGAATGTGAAGTAGGCTCCAAGAGCTCAAGAAACAAACGCATCATACCATGGTCCGAAGAAATGAGAACAAATTGTTATTGAAATCTATCAGTCTGGAAAAGGTTACAAAGCCATTTCCAGGACTCCGGGGCTCCATCGAACCACTGTCAGAGCCATTATTCACAAACGGAGAACACTTGGAACAGTGGCAAACATTCCCAGGCGTGGTCGACCAGCTAAAATTACTTCAAGAGTGTGACGACGACTCATCCAGGAGGTCGCAAAAGAACCTAGTACATCATCCAAAGAACTGACCTCAGTGTTCACCACTCTACCATAAGAAAGACACTGGCCAAAATTTCATCCATGAGAGAGTTTCCAGGCAAAAACCACTGCTATCTCAAAAAGAACACTGAGGCTCATCTCACATTTGCCAAAAGCCATCTTGATTATCTTCTTTTGGAAAAACACTGTGGGCCGATGAATCAAAAATTGAACTTTTTGGAAGATGTGTGGCTGCTTTGCTTTCTTAGGACCAGGACAACTTGCCGTGATTGATGGGACAATGAATTCTACTGTCTACCAGAAAATCTTGAAGAACAATCAGTTTGCCCTCAAACTCTAAGTGCTCTAGGATCATGCAGCAGGACAAAGATTCAAAACACACCGGCAAGTCCACCTCTGAATGGCTAAAGAACCCCTCAAAGTTAGTGTTTTGCAGTAGCCAAGTCAAAAGCCCCGTTCACACGGCAACGTTTGGTCCGACACAGCTCCGAAATAAATCCAGTCGAGCATTCACACGTGCACATTTGCTCCGGCGTAGCTCCACTAAAGAGCTTATACCGGACCAAATTTGATCCACCTCAGGGAGGTGGTTTAAAAATTTGCTCCAGAGCAAATGCTCGTTTGCGACACTACGCCGAAACAAATGTGCACGTGTGAACGCAGCTGGATTAAATTTGCTCCAGAGCAAATGTTCGCTTGCGGGGGAGTGGCCTTGCTACGCTCGCTACCAGACGCACGGAATCCGACCCCGGTCGACAGTGACGAGGGGGCCAGCGACACAGACGAAGCCCGGCCGTGGACCCCC